ATGGAATTAGATATTTTTGATCCCAACGACAGACATGCAGATACTGTATTATTATTATGACTTTCATCGTGCAGCAGTGATCCATTGGTCCATATGATATATGAAGAATTATTAATATAATCCTACTTAACCTCTCAGACCTTGACATTTTATTGGACATATTTAGTTAGAACTATGGTCAAGCCAAAGAGTATAGTAGGTCAGGCCAGACGATTTTTTAAAAAAATGGTAAAAATAACTTAGAGTCATTACTATGTTCATATCCAAAAATAAAAAATTATCAACAATTAAAATATCGAATTATTTATATGAAGGTCAAGTGAGCGCTAGAGTGACGACGATTGCAAGACGATTTGTCGATAAATGAAATGTTTCGAGAAATTATCAATTACTGTGTAGTGGCGGTGTATGAATATTCATACTATTCCGTGGGTTTCGTAAGAGGCGACTGATCCACTGTTCAATACAACAAGGTACGTGTACCGTGGAACAGAACGTGGCAACTATGACAAGTATACCCTCTATGAGGAATATAGTGGAGGCCTATGTTCTTTGGGGGTTTTTATAGGATGTAACGGTCCATCACCAGCAGTGGAATGAAACTGTAAGGAGAGGGAGGGATTAATTTTATTATTTAAAAAAATATTTTTGTGGTTTTTTTTTTATAGAAGAGGGGGCAAACGAGCATGCGGCTCACCTGATGGTAAGTGACTACCGCCGCCCATGAACAACCGCAACACCAGGGGAATTGCAGATGCGTTGCCGGCCGTTTAGAAAGGTGTAAGCTCTTTTCTTGAAGGTCCCTAAGTCGTATCGGTCCGGAAAATCCGCCGGTGGTAAACAATTATGTGTAAAAAAGTCATCAAACAGCATCAAACAATTTATTAAACAAAAGTTGCGTAAACAAGTTCAATGGTTAAAACAATATTAAATAACAAAACCAAACAATTCTACTGAAAAGAAAAAAAAAGAAAATATTATTTCACTTTTACAACTAAGGCAAATCTAACGAATCGCTATATTATGTTAAAATTCAATATATATATATATATATATATGTTAAAATCGAATAAATATTATGAAGAAAGAAACAAGGACATAGAAACACTTGATTTTCATAAAGAAAAGAAATATATAATATAATTATATCGATAAACTCAGTAGAAGCCTCAAAAAAAATTAAATCACAGGTATATACTTGTACATCCGTAAGATAGCGTAATAAAGTATATACTTTATTACGCTATCTTTGAGCAACGCCATTTTTCTAACGACTTCAAACAGGAGAAGGAAGTCGACTGTGTTTTTTTATGCGTGTTACCTCATAACCTTCTGGGTGAACTGATTTCGATGATTCTTTTTTTATTTGAAAGCTGGTGCTTCACTTTCACATTTTTATTTTTAGTTATTGTTGAAAACAACTTCGCCATAATGTTCACTATATATCGAAATTATAACATAAAACGTAATTTTCGCGCATTGGACTTTGTGAGATATGAAAATTTGTGTTTATTACATGATTTATTGTGATAACTCACACTTTTTATTTACTTTTCAGTTAATTCTGGCTATTAAATATAGTGATACGTGAACGACACAGTATTTGAAATGGCAATTTTATAAAATATATGAAATTGTTACGAAGCAAAATATAAGGAATTAAATTTTAAAACAGTGTAATTACTTTCCATTTGTATAAAAACTAACAAAAAACTTTCTATTGTACCCTCTTAATTTTTTGTAAAATTTCTAGTTGCCTCTTACACTCACGCGGCGAAGGATATAAGACTAAAGTATGTGACGTAAACGCGACGCGAGGCGGAAACTCATCATTTGAAGTAAATTCTGTTAATATAAAGAAGCGTAATTTAATAACGAAACCAATTCTAATAAAATTTTAGTTTTATAGTTCATCTAAATAACATTTAAAAAATAATTGTTATGAGCACAATAACTATGGTTCTGACTAAACGTAGTGTAGTGATCATATACTCTTTGGTTCTGAGGGGTCCTTTCTAAATATTACTATACTCTTTGGAGCGTTCTACAAAGTTGACCTTGGATTGCCTCATGTGTACTTCAAAGGCTTGACAGATTAAGTAAAAGATTGGCCCTTAGTTGTTGAAATATGAAAAATATAACGATTAAACCATTGTGCGTTTAACATACTCGGCGGTAGAAATCAAGTCCAAAATTAAATGAGTGAATGTTTTGTCTTTCATCTATTAGGTAGCTGGGATGCTATGTTTATGTAGGCTTAAATCTTTTTGATGCCAAATCCATCTCATTTATGTTGTAACTAACAAAAGTTGGATTTGCAACCGTGGAAGCTCACGAGAGCAAGCCAGGTTCAATCCACGCCGGCACCAATAGAAACTGCTAATTGCAAGTTAAGTACTTATTTACTACGTGCTCTGCTGTTAACGAAAACATCGTGAGGATATTTAAAATAAGAGTGACAAACGAACATACAACCTGATAGTAAGTGAATGCTATGGCCCATAGACATTCACTTACTATCAGGTTATTATCACATTATTAAGAATCATAATACAGATGCGAGTACTGGAACGGGGCCAATACAATCTGCATCACGTTGGAGTAATTAGTCATACCTGTTCTTATTATTTTGTGGTTACACCTTTATGGAACAGTACCTAAACCAAACGGCAGCTGTTAAAACGTTTAACAATACGTTAAACGTTTGAAACAATACGTTATTGTAGAAATATGTAGACAACAACTACAACTAAACAAATATGAATAATAACCTTCAACAAAATAGCTATACTTATGTGTATAAATAAATAATATTATATAGTTATTTCGCGGTTTTCATATAATTTCATATAATAAATGGTAGAGCCATGCTGCAGCTATATTAGTAGTATAGTTAAAGCACGAATGGGTCGGCTCGACCGGGGGAAGGACCACGCTCTCACAGAATACCAGCGTAAAATAGCAGCTTAACACTGCTGTGTTTCGTATGGTGAGTGTAGAGAACCGGAGACCCTTTTTACTGGAAAAGAGGCATTTCATCTTAGTCCTCGTAGTATGTAGATGTCTATGGGCCACAGCAACCACTTACCATCAGGTGGACTGTGTGCTCGTTTGTCACCCTATCCTATATATATAAATAAAAAATATTTTTTGATGTGATAGTCATGCTACAGTTTTACAGTTGTAGCACTAATGGGTCGGCTCGATGGGGAAAGGACCACGCTCTCACAGAATACCAGTGCAAAATACCAGCTTAATGCTGCAGGTTCGTATGCGTGTAGAGAACCGGGGACCCTTTTAACGAGGCATTTCTTATGCTCGATTCTTATATTCAAAAAACGTTTCGTTCTCCGTAACGGTTCGTTTTATAAAATACGAAACGCATGTAAGAGTTTATATTACAAACTATTAATTCAACAACTTAGGATGACTTACACGGTTCTTAAATAATTGAACTGATATTTTGTATTCATTTACTTAAATTAAAATTTTAGAAACTCCCGAAAAAAAAAAAGCTGGTGATCATCAAACGGCTTAACAGATTTTCTTGATATAGCTAAGAATACTCTCGATTAAGAAACCTTTAACCTCCACTTTTAACGAGGTAGTCAAGATTGACGAGGCAGCAACAGTGAACAGGCTGATGATGATGAAAAAGAAATTTAAATTCAATAGTATGGTGGCATAAAAAACAAATTTCAATTCTTCGAAGCTTTAATGCATTAAAAACATTGCTTAAAACAATTCACAGTAAAAATAGTCATTTCTATATTCAACAACATTTTGCTTAAGTTTAAGAGTTGACCTCACTAAATGGATGTAGCATCTAGTTCGGTATTTGTACATTACTGAGATCCAATACAATAATTCACAATTATGCTCCATAAAATTCATATATTTCTAAATTATTAAAGCATTATTGAATTTTTTCTAGTGAGAATGCAATTCTGCAATTAACATAATATTAATAAAGGCAATTCTGGCATTAAAAAATTTAAATATATAGATGAGATTATGTTAAATTTCAATATAAATATTTAATATACAGGTGACTATGAAAGTGGTGAAGTGTTTTTTGAATTTGGTGATTAAATAAAATAAATCTTAAACAGAAAACTGTGCTGAATCAAATCTCTATAATATGATGTAAACTTTGTGATAGATGAGAAAAAAAAACCTGATATTATTCACACAGAGATAGAGACATAAACAACAGAAAAAGGTTCTTAATTTCATCTATCACTAAGTTTATATTGTAAGAATGGTGTTTCAATCACTCAGCACTTAGACAATTACCCGTAGCAAATCATTCAATTACATGATAACAAATTGACATATGCATAGTGTTTTCTGTGGACACCATAATATTACTTTTTGTGAATTATTCAATATAGGACAGATTCTAGTTTTGTTATATTAGAGGATATTTACTTTCAACATTATTATTATTATTGTTTAATCCCTAATTAGTTATTTTTAGGGCTGGCAGTATTACATTTTATTTAAATTTACACAGGGCTTAACTCTCATATATTACAGCCATTATTATTTTATGTTTAACCATTGGTTTGGATTGGTAGTTGTTCTTATATGTTTTTAAAAAAAAAAAGGTGTACCTATGTCATCAGGTTGAAAACAACATAAAATAATATGTTTAACTATCAATCACACCAATCTTAATTATTTTAAACAAGCAATTGTTGTTCAAATGTTGTCACAGAAGTAGCGGGAATAGAAATGGCTATAGTCATTTGGATGAAACTTTATATTTAAATGTTTTATATTCGAAGTTTATCTAAATAGATGTCATTCCTGAGAAAATTAGTTTTTACACAATATAATTGAGTTTTTTATAACATCAAACAATGATCGACTGCCCAGGTAATAATTCATTATACTTCTACAATACATGTTGAATAACTAAACAAAAATTACTAGACTTATCTGCCCTATATCATACACTTCTTTTTTGCTATTTATTTAAGACAATACTTTTGTAATTATTGTTTGTTGTTGTATAAATCCCAGAGTGTAATTGCACCATCAAGACCCCCAGCTGCCATTATATTTGCATTCCAGAAAGAAACTTTTTGAGTAGAATAAACAACATCTTGCACTGCTTGCCTGTGCTCTGTCAAAACAACTAACTGTCGCAAAGAAAACCAAGAAAATATACGAATGTGTCCATCCCAGCCTCCCGCAACAAAAACTTTTCCATCCATTCGTGATTGTACTTTATTAACACCGGGGTTCTTGATAGTGACATCCGTCTTGTGGGCCAAACTCAAGTCTTTTCTCCCTATACTAAATATCTGCACCACATCAGAGGCGTTACCAATAACACCTTTCTGTTGTTCGATGTGAAAGTCCACAGACATCGGACATTCCTTAGTTTGTAATTTGCTGATGATTTGACTAGTGTTAAGATCCCATAAAAGGAGCCATCCAGCTTCATAACCAACCAGAAGGCATGACTTGTCACAGAAAAATTCAACATACTTAATACACATTGGATCACCTAGTTTAGGTGAAACATTTTCAGGTTTGAGGGAACCCATTTTTTCTCCAGAAAAATTGTAAATGGCAATACTGGATTCCCTGTCAGGTACATATAGCATTTTGAGTTTTGTGTTGGCTTCAAAGCGACAAAAGCCAGGGTAGTCCATATCTATTACATGCTCTTCCTTGTATCCAGAATTGGTTAAACTAAAAATTTTGAATTTACCACCTTTTTCTTGAGTAATAAGTTGACTATCTGTATGAATAAGATGGAGAATAGGAGCTTGACCAACTTGAATTTTTTGTTGAACACGGTTTGTCTGAAATTTTAAAAACAATTAAAGATGTCTTATTACATAAATCTTCAAAGGAATGGACATAAGTACAGTATAATGAAAGTGCATAGGATTATACACTGCATAAGTTAAGAATAGGTTATTTGTATGATACCTTAACCCTGTTAGAATTGAGTAATCAGTGGTAGAACAGTCAGCTGGGATTGCTACATTTATTTATTTATTCACTTAACCGTCCACCCCGTGCGAGTGATTCTCGCCTGACCTGTCCGCGCATTAAATGTCACTATTTTTTTAAGACCGCGTGAGACTGTCTTAACAAAAACAATTACTACTGAAAAACTACTATAGCTACATTCAAAAAAAATATTCTCAAAAGACTCAAAGAATTCAAAATTTAATTTTGTTAAAAGAAAATTTGTCAAATTAAAAATAAAGGATGAAAATAATGTTTAAAAATGGGAATATAAAAAAAATCATATTTATTTTTTATTTCGAATTTTACAAGAAAAGTATAATACTTACTGGAGACAATTATTTTATATTATAATAGTACATGATATTCCCTTTAAAATAACACCAATATCAGTAATATCTTATATACTCAATATAGATAAGTATATAATCTTTAACCAATATAAATTTGAATAAATAAGTAAATGTATAAATAAAAAAGTTTTAATAATTTCTAGACACATCGCAACAGATATTTTGTTTATAAATTGCTATCAACATGTTAATAGTGAATCATACTTTTATATTTAGCATTTATTTAACACAAAAAACTGATTAGAATACATTTTAAACAACATATAATCAATAAACGATGATCGCATATAGTGATTAAAATTTTGAGCTAAATTATTATATGTAAACGTTTTGGAATTGTCGTAATGATACATTAGTTTGATGTACAATGGCATTAGAAATAACGTATAAAAACAGAAAAGTTATCACATTTTTTATCGAATTTCCCACACTTTAATATGCCGCAGACAAAAATGGTGAAATTTCATTTTTTTTCTGAATATTTTGTTACTATTATACAGATAAAATTCACTTTCACTGATGACAAATTTCATATAGTTTTTTATAATTTTTTTCTGTATTAATAACAGCTATCTTTTGTGATGCACACATTTAAACCAAAAGATATTGTTTGGTGACTATAGTCACCATGGACGGTTGAGTAGTTATATACTATTGTACTAAAGGCACAAACGGCGGACTTAATGCCATATGGCATTTTCTACCAGCCAACAGTAAAGTGTGAGAAGTGTGTACAGCAGTGGACTAGGGTGAAAAACCTAAAATTGATAAAATTCACACATACACACTCTGTCATTATCGTATCATCGATCAATATATTACCGTGAATAATAGATTTCATAAATAGATAACATTGAAGCAAAATGTAATATTTATTACATGTTTTATTAAATCCGAAGTAAATGTATTCATAGACAGAACAAATCTTAAGATATTTAATTGCAAATTCTGGCAGAGGGCACCAGATATTTTTTTAGGTCACTAAACGAGGGTAGTAAACAAAGAAAATACGCAATTTACAAAATGTTTACGGACGTGAGATAACCTTTTTTTTTACGCAGTTACAAAGACTGATGAACAAAAGGATTCATATCCTTGGAATATTTGATGTTACCTGAAGGTTGTATGCATAAACAAATCCATTTTTCGAACCGGCTAGTAACCTCTCAAGTCCGCCAGGAAGAAAGCTGAACGCCAATGAATAAACTGGCGAGTTGTCGACGTTTCGGATTGTATAAACTGGGTCAGGGGGTAACAATGCCATGATTGATCAAGCTCAAACCGAAATATTAGGCCGGAATAAAAAACTAAAACAATAACAAAATTAATTAAGCCATCAGAAACAAAACCCCAACTGCGCACAACACAAAACTGACACTTGACATAAAAACAAGAATGTTTATTTTTTTATTTATTTTTTTGGAGTTTATGGCCTGGCATCTAGACCTTTAGGCCAACAAGAATGTTTACGTTTCTAACAGCATTGCCAACACCAATTTATCAAATTCCCCGAAAATCCATGTCAAGTTCCCCAATTTAGGCCCAAAACTTCAACAGAGTCCACACAAATTCCCCTCAATTTTATTTCAAGAAATGAAACAATTTTCAACTAATTTTATAAGATTTATTTTTTAACTAACAACGTTTTTATTTTTTACCGAAATTTTTTCACACTTTCCATATTTTTGTAACAAGCATTTTACTCCATGGAGTATTTTTAATTTTTTCCCTTGTTGCCATTAAAAAGTACCACAGTGTCTGCATTTTTCATGCGGTTCTGTGCTTTAAAATTAAAAAATAAAGAAATAAAAAGCATTAAATGATACACAAAAGTTTTCGAATTTTAGTTGTAAATTCGAAACTTAAATGTGGTGCAATAATAAAAAAGGGAGTCATTCGATATTCATAAGTTACCTAACAAAAATATAAAGATAAGTATTTAGATTTCATGAAGAACGGTTCTGACTTGGCCTGGGATTTTCAAAATCCCCGCATTTTCCCCGCATAATACCAATCCAAAAAAATCCCCATCGAACTTTAAATTCCCCGTAATTTGGGGAATTCCCCACATGTTGGCAATGCTGATTTCAAGGTTTTGACCTAAGAGTATATATTCAATATGTTTTAGTTTTTTTTTTGACGTTAAGGGGCGCCACAAATAAATGATGACCAAAGGTATTGCATAAAACATCTATACAAATCTACACAAATAAATAAAATTGAAGTATTGTCAAAATAACAGCTTTTTACTAAATGCATATGAAAGTATATATATAATATTTGTCTGTCTGTCTGTTTGATTTTGACGGGACTTTCACTGGCAGATAGCTAATATTGTAAGGAGTAACTTAGGCTACTTAAATTTAAGAAAAAGAATTAAGTTTTCGCGCAAAAAAAATTAAAACGCGTGAAATCGCTTAATAAAAATTAAAATACTTTCGTGAAGATTATAGATTGTTGTTTATTATAGTCGGCCCCAATGCTCTAGTGCGTGTTGGTGGAAAATAAATGAGAAAAAGACTACTCTTGGATTTGATTGGATTCCAGGAAGAGTTCTACAAGCAAGTAGATGGTGTGGCGGTGGGCTCACCTGTATCTCCCATTGTCGCCGATATATTCATGGAAGATTTTGAGGAGAAAGCCCTGCTTACGTCTCCTGTAAATCCAAGATTCTACAAGCGGTACGTAGAGGACACATTCACAATTCTACCTTTAGATAACGTAACTGCATTTTTTTGTAACTGCATTTCTAGATGTGTTAGCAATCCGGAATCCTGATAACACCTTGAGCCACACTGTGTATAGAAAAAATACCCATAGAGATAGATATTTAAATGGTGATTCTCACCACCATTATTCACAGTTAGCTACCGTGGGTAAATCTTTGTTTCAGAGAGCACGAGGGATCTGTGAGATAAACACCTGGCCACCGTGCTCCAACCCGTCAAGCAAGTTTTGCACGACAACAAGCTTTGGGTCCCGCGCCTACGTCACAGTGAAGGAGTGAAGCCGGCCACAATCGAGCGTGCGCTTGCTGTACTGCCATATGTCAGAGGTATTACTGACAAGATTGGCTATATCTTGAAGTGTGCATCCATTAAAACATACTTCAAGCCGCCGAACAAGATTAGTCAGTTTTCACCATCAGTCAAGTGTAATCCTCGATAAAGAACACCGATTCCTTCCAAGGATGTTTCGCGAGGCTATTGAAATCAAAAAACATCCTAATTTCAAAAGAAAATATGTCTGTGTGCTGCCATCTGTCTTCAAGATACTATAAGTTCATACTCCGTTGATCGGAACAAAAATTAATTATTTTAATCTGGAGATAGCCGTGGTAAACTATGATTGGGACGTCAAACACCTCAGCCTCCTTACCATAGGTGCTGGTAAAGTGCTCGAAACGTCGGTAATATAAAAATAAGTTAATATACGCGATAAAATCCGTAAAAACTAGTTTTATTCAAATGTGTAGTGCTAAAGTTGTTAAGGGCTTACGTTGCAATATTGCAACACGGTGTAATGGTTTGACACCGGGCTGGCAGTTAGCCCCGTATAGGTAGTTGTTACCGAGTGGAAATAAACACAATAATATACAAATGGACTTTGGATTGTTTAGCACCTACACCTATAGGTGACGATAAGAGCTAACTCACACTGGTGACCCGTACAATTAAAAACTGGTGTAGCCGATTTAATTTATATTTAGTGAAGGTTAAATACATTCAGAATCAAAATGGCTAAACCGGTGCAAATTAAAAGCGACTGTAGAGAAATTACGGAAGTGGCAGCAATATCTCTGACCTCCAGGATACCTACGTTCTGGAGCGACTAGCCCAGGCTCTGGTTCGTGTAATTCGAAGCTGTCGTTGCAAAGCAAAAGTTGTCGGATGAAAACAAGTTCAAGCTACTCGTGACCAAACTCACCAAAGACAATATGGAACAGGCAAGTGACGTCGTACTAGCTCCTCCAGAAACCAAGTGCTATGACATGTTGAAGAACAAGGTCATGTCCGTTTATGAAGAGTCTGAGAACAAACAATTCCAGAGGTTATTATCTGAAATGGAATTAGGTGACCAAAAACCGTCGAAATAACTAAGAAAAATGAAGAATTTAGCAAGAAATGATATGGACGGGACATCTATCTACATCCGTTAGAGCAGTATTAACTGTAACCGAGATTACGCAACTAGACAAACTGGCAGAGTTAGCTCACAAGATGATGAAAATGACACGATCCATTGAGGCAGCGGAAATAGTGACACAAAAACTGAGCACATAAGAAAAGGATCTGGCCGCCGAATTTGAGTAATTACGTCTTGAAGTGGTAAAATTACGTGGCAGACAAGCGTGGCGTCGATCGGAACGAGGCCGTTTCCGCCCTCGTTCAACAGCAGGCTACAGACGAAGAGTGACTCCGAGACGACGCTCCAGTAATGATCCAGACTGGCTATGCTTCTACCACTACAAGTATGGGCATCGAGCTACCAACTGCGTAGAACCATGTGCGAGGAGGAAGATACAAGCGAAATCAGTGCAGGCGACTGCGGGCCCCTGAACTGTTACACCTTCACACCGCCTATGCGTAGAAGACAGAACAAGCGGACTCAGGTATTTAGTAGATACAGGCGCTAATGTTTCAGTCATTTCAATTAGTAATAAATTGCGCACATATAGAAAATGTAACGATTATAAATTATATGCAGCTAATGGTTCAACCATCGAAACGTATGGCAATAAAATTTTAACTTTAAACTTAGGATTAAGAAGGGCATTTAGGTGGTCTTTTCTAGTCGCTAACGTACGAGAACCAATATTAGGGGCAGATTTTTTGAGTCACCATGGTCTTTTAGTAGATATAAAGTCTCGTAGGTAAATTGAACAAGAAACCAATTTAAACGTTATAGCCTCGATAATTAGCTGCAACCAACACTCTATTAAAACTGTCGACAACAACCATGAATTCACGGAATTATTACATAAGTATCCTAATATTACGAGACCTGTCTCTTTTAAGGAAACCCCTCGTCATTCGGTATTAAACCACATAGAAACGACGGGTCCCCTTGTGCATGCTAAGGCACGCCCATTACCACCCGATAAATATAAAAAGGTAAAAGAGGAATTTAGAATATTGCAAGAAATGGGAATATGCAGGCCTTCCAAGAAGAAGAAGTGCTTGGGCTAGCCCACTACATGTGGTGCCAAAGAAAAATGGCGATTTGCGACCATGCGGAGACTACCGTAAGTTAAATGCAATTACTAAACCGGATCGGTATCCGATACCTAGAATTCATCATTTTACCTACCTAGGTAATAAAAAGATATTTTCGCGTATTGATGTGAATAGGGCATTTCACTGTATAGCAATTAACCCGGCGGATATTGAAAAAACAGCAATAATTACGCTATTTGACTTACTTGAATTTCCACGCATGACCTTCGGCCTTTGTAACGCTCCACAAACTTTTCAAAGATTTATGAACCAAACGGTGTTAAAAGGCTTAGACAACGTTTTTTGTTATACTGATGACGTAATTATTGCTAGTTCTACAAGGGAGGAGCACGAAACCCACTTAGACCAGGTTTTTAAGCGTTTCGATGACTTTTGGGGTAACAATCAACCTAGCAAAAATTTGTTTTGGCCAGGAGAAAATTAAGTTTTTAGGTTTTGAAGTATCCACACAGGGCATAAGGCCATTTAATCAGAAAGAAAAGGCAATTTCTAAGTTTCCTAAACCTAAAACGATAGAAGAATTAAGACGTTTTTTAGGCATGATAAACTTCTATCGAACATATATACCGGATGCGGTCAAAGCTCAATCAATCTTAAATAAATATTGAAAAGGTGCTAGAAATAGGGACAAGTTACTCATACAGTGGTCAACGGAAGCCGACGAAGCGTTCTTGCAATGTAAAAATTGTTTACAAAACGCGGTGACTTTATCGTATCCATTGCCTAATACAACGCTCGCACTCATGACTGACGCGTCTAATTCCTGTGTCGGGGCAGTGTTGCAACAATGTGTTAATAATAAATGGTTACCTATCGGTTATTTTTATAGGGCAATGAGTAATACGGAACAAAAATATTCGGCTTACGATAGGGAATTATTGGCAATTTACTTAGCTTTAAAATACTTTCAGAACCTTGTTCAAAGCAGTAAATTTGTGATTTTTACCGATCACAAGCCTCTAACCTGTGTATTTTCGAAAATCAACAAGGGTAGAGAACTACCTAGGCGGATACGTCAACTAGCATA